CAAATAAATTTGAAATTTTTCTTTGACGCAAATCCGCTCAATCATTTCCAAATGCGAGTGCTTGTTAAAAATTTTTCAATTGCATAGCAAAATAACAACTGCAATCGAAAACGTCATACAATTTGTCAACAAATGCTGCAATTAGTCGATCACTTTGAATGTGAATGCCAGCCATTTCACAATGCTTCTACAGGCCGAATATATATAGTACGCATATCACAATAAACGGCAACAATTGACACACTCATATGTACATAGGTATGTTTATTTTCTTACATTTTCAGCAGCTGTTTTGCATTAAAATTGAAAAGTGAGGCACACAAAGAAAACAATTCGATCCACTTCATGCATACATTTTCTCGCAATTAATGCATTTCATCAATTTTCGGCTATTAATAGCGTTATTCAGATACGTCAAATGAAAAATATGTAAATAAAATTATAAAAGCTCATTGGCATATGAATTTCAATTGCATTTATAGGCACTTAAAAGCACACCATCCATTATGAAGCACACATTTTAGGGTGGCAACAGAGTGCCGTATAAATGAAGGAAAAAATGTGATTCTTGTAATTGGGACCAGAATTCTTCATTTGCATTTGCTGTTAGAGAAATACTATTTTCAATTCTTTCTGAACTCTTTAAGGCCTTTTTTTACTTTACTTTACATAATTGCCACTCGAAGCTACAAAATCGCGTGTGTAAAAATATGCATTTTTTTAAGTGCCTATACTTACTTATAGTGAATTCGCAAATTGGAATTTTACATAAGCGAAATGCAAATATAGACAATTTCACACTTACATATGTGCGCGCATGTGCTGCTCTTAAGTTTATTCAAATTCTATTTAGAAAGTTTGTTTTTCAATACAATTATCGTTCAAATTGTTTACTATTTACCTATATTTTTATAACACCTCATTAATTGGCACATTGCAGCTGTATCCAATTACCATTTTCATTAGCGAAATATTATTAACACAATGAAATTTACACTTTACAAAAACATAATTGTATAGCTTTGCTTTTCTTATAACAATT